TTGTTTTTTCTTTTCCATATTATGTATATCTCTGATAAGCTACCCAGGAAAGGGCTGACAATAGCCCATATTAACATACAGTACCAGTAAAAGGTTTGGACACACCTACTCAATCAAGGGTTTTTCTTAATTTTTACTATTTTTTACATTTATGAATAATAGTGAAGACATCAAAACTATGAAATAACACATATGGAATCATGTAGTAACCAAAAAAGTGTTAAACAAATCAAAATATATTTTATATTTGAGATTCTTTAAATAGCCACCCTTTGCCTTGATGACAGCTTTGCACACTCTTGGTATTTTCTCAACCAGCTTCATGATGTAGTCACCTGGAATGCATTTCAATTAACAGGTGTGCCTTCTTAAAAACAAGAAGAAACTGTATTATGAAGCCAAGATCAATGATATAAAGAATGATGGAAAAAAACTTTGGAGTACTTTAAATTCAGTTATGGGCAGAAAGACAAATTCAACTCCATCTTTCATCAAATCTGATGGCTTATTCATCACAAAACCATTTGATGTTGCATATTATTTGAATGATTACTTCATTGGCAAAGTGGGCAAACTTAGGTAGGAAATGCCAATAATGAACAGTGAGCCATCATAGTCTTGCATTTAAAAAAAAAAATAATGAAAGAAAAGCATTGCAAGTTTGAATTTTGTTAAGTTAGTGTGGGATAGTTGGAAAAATGATTGTTATCGATCAATAATGACAAACCTCCTGGCATTGACAACTAAGATGGAAAGCTACTGAGGATGGTAGCTGACTCTATAGCCACTCCAGGCCTGGAGGGAAGCCAAAGTCATTCCGCTCCCAAGAGTGGTAAAGTGGCCTTTACTGGTTCTAACAACCTATCAGCTTGCTGCCAGCTCTTAGCAAACTGTTGGAAAAAATTGTGTTTGACCAAATACAATGCTATTTCTCTGTAAACAAATTAACAACAGACTTTCAGCATGCTTATAGAGAAGGGCACTCAACATGTACTGCACTGACATAAATGACTGATGATTGGTTGAAATAAATTGATAATAAGAAGATTGTGGGAGCTGTACTGTTAGATTTCAGTGCAGCCTTTGACATTATTGACCATAACCTGTTGTTGAGAAAACTTACAATATGTGTTATGGCTTTTCAACATCTGCCATATCGTGGATTCTGAGCTATCTAAAAGAACTCAGAGGGTTTTCTTTCATTGAAGCTTCTCTAATGTCAAACATGTAAAGTGTGGTATACCGCAGGGCAATTCTTTAGGCCCTCTACTCTTTTCTATTTTTACCAATGACCCGCCACTAGCATTAAACAAAGCATGTGTGTCCATGTATGCTGATGATTCAACCATATACACATCAGCAACCACAGCTAATGAAGTCACCGAAACCCTTAACAAAGAGATGCAGTCTATTTTGGAATGGGTGACCAGTAACAAACTGGTCCTGAACATCTCTAAAACTAAGAGCCTTGTATTTGGTACAAATCATTCCCTAAGTTCTAGACCTCAGTTGAATCTGACAATGATTGGTGTGGCTCTTGAACAAGTTGAGGAGACTAAATTGCGTGGTGTTACCCTAGATTGTAAACTGTCAAGGTCAAAACATATAGATTAAATGGTTGTAAAGATGGGGAGAGGTCTGTCCGTAATAAAATATGCTCTGCTTTTTTGACACCACAGTCGACAAATCAAGTCCTGCAGGCTCTAGTTTTGTCTTATCTTGATTATTGTCCAGTCGTGTGGTCGAGTGCTCCAAGGAAAGACCTAGTTAAGCTGCAGCTGGCCCAGAACAGAGCGGCACGTCTTGCTCTTCATTGTAATCAGAGGTCTAATATAAATACTATTCATGCCATTCTCTGTTCTGACTGCATCACTTCTTATTTTTATAAGAAACAATGTGTTGAAAATTCAAAATTATTTGCATAGTCAACTTACACACAGTTCTGACACACACTTACGTGACCAGACATGCCACAAGGGGTCTTTTCACAGTCCCCAAATCCAGAACAAATTCAAGAAAGAGTACAGTATTATATAGGGCCATTATTGCTTGGAACTCCCTTCCATCTCATATTGCTCAAATGAACAGCAAACCTGGTTTCAAAAAACAGATAAAGCAACAACTCACGGCACAACGCCTATCCCCTATTTGACCTAGATAGCTTGTGTGTGTATTGATATGTAGGCTACATGTGCTATTTTTTTATTAATGTAGTTCTGTCCTTGAGCTGTCCTTGTCTATTAATGTTCTGTATTATGTCATGTTTCATGTTTTGTGTGGACCCCAGGATGAGTAGCTGCTGCTTTCGCAACAGCTAATGGGATCCTAATAAAATGCCTAAAATACCAATACAGCCATTAAACTCTGTAACTGTTTTAAAGTCACCATTGGCCTCATGGTGAAATCCCTGAGCGGTTTCCTTCCTCTCCAGCAACTGAGTTAGGAAGGACACCTTTATCTTTGTAGTGATTGGGTGTATTGATACACCATTCAAAGTGCAATTAATAACGTCACAATGCTCAAAGGGATATTCAATAGGTACCCTTCTTTGTGAGGCATTGGAAAACCTTCCTGGTCTTTGAGGTTGAATCTGTGTTTAAAATGTACTGCTCGGCTGAGGGACCGTACAGATAATTGTATGTGTGGGGTACAGAGATGAGGTAGTCATTCAAAAATAATATTAAATACTATTATTGCACACAGTCCATCCAACGTATTATGTGACTTGTTAAGCAAATTTTTACTCCTGAACTTATTTAAGCTTGCCATAACAAAGGGGTTGAATACTTATTGACTCAAGCCATTTCAGCTTTTCATTTTTTATTAATTTGTAAAAACATTGACATTATGGGGTATTGTGTGTAGGCCAGCAGTGACAAAAAAATCTCAATTATATATTAAATTCAGGCTGTAGACAACAAAATGTGGAAACAGTCAAGGGGTGTGAATACTTTCTGAAGGCACTGCATGCTTCTTTTCACACTTCCATTGGGATTGGACAAAGTGAGGTAATAAGCCCTATACCACCTTTGTCTGGTCCATAATACTGCACTACAATATTGGCTGTCAGTAAGAGGGTAGACTAATGGGTAGCCTATAGGTCTACTTTACTACATGGAGTTTAATATAACCTGCTATAAATAATATAGGAATGTTTTTAAATGCAATTAAAAGTTGTTATTATGCCATTACTTTGTGGGTTACAACAAACTCAGCAAGTAGTGACTGCTAAATAAGGCAATATCTAATTCTTCATTAGTTCGGCTGACTAACTTCAGTGGTCTGTTACTCACTGGCTGCGTTTACACAGGTAGCCTAATTCTATATATTTTTTTCACTAATTGGACTTTTGACCAATCATATCAGCTCTGAAAAAGACCTGATGTGGAAAGGTCTGATGTGATTGGGCAAAATACCAATTAGTGGAATTTGTTTTTAGAATTGGGCCATCTGTGTAAATGCAGCCGTGCTTCTACATCTGCATTGCTTGCTGTTTGGGGATTTAGGCTGGGTTTCTGTATAGCACTTTGTGACATCTGCTGATGTAAAAAGGGCTTTATAAATCAAATTTGATTGATTGATTGATTGACTCCCGGAATTATGAGGATTCATCATTTGTGGGCCTTGGTGTTGCCAATTTTTTTGCCATCAGCTTATTTTAGACACTTTCATTTACCTCAGAAGGATTTAAATAGAGTTAGTCAATGTAACAGGACAAGGTACCCTACTGAAATTAACTTGGGCAAACTGCTCCTTGAAAACGCATCGATAAGCTACGATTATTTTTTTTATGACTTGCCTAAGCTGCATTCGTAAATGCAAACGTTTAAATGGTGTTGGAATTGTGAGAGACAGAATAACTAACTAATTTGAAAAGACTTGATAAGTTTTATCTATTTACACCAAATTGTTGAGATAAGTTATTACAGGCTCCACCATGTTTTCACAGTCCATTTCGGCTTGAGTGTACCCATAATTAGCTTATATGCTTATTCCCAGACAGCAAAATATTACTTTATGAATTACATAATTGTAATATAGAATTATAGATTAGGTAGGCTATATGGATTATTCTAAGCATGAAACATAAACATATATTCCACCCCTCTGATCTCTTCACACAGCAAAATAAGGCCTACGTGGCAGCGAAGTCCAAGACTTCATATATTATTTTATCGGCATGTAAGCTGTGAGGAATTAAATAATAAACCTATATCATCATCATGACCATCATATTACTTTGTACAAACTGTAGGAAGGAAGGGTACAATCCTAAATGTATAGCCTATGACGACGGGGAGCCTTTAAATTAGTCACTAGATAAAACATTTCAGCTAGTCTATAACTGAATTCATTTAAGGATTCAAAAATAAATTGCATTATCCACTTCAGATAACTGTTATGGGAGTGAATATTAGCCTATAGGCTAGTCAAGACCTTGTCAGTTGTGAAGTTCTTTCTCCTTCAGTGATGTTTTCAGTATTCGATTAGACCCGAAAGAGGAGGTAATAAGGGGACCAATAATGCAATCAAAAGATAATAATATTATTAATAATAATATATATAACATTTTACATTTAATCGAAAATCAAAAGAAATAAACATTTTATTTACAATATTTTCAGTGCAAATAATTATTGAAAAATATAAAATACAACAATATTTATCAACGCTTCCAGAGTAAATTACTATAACATTGTGTCATGTTCTGGGATTTCAGAACACGGAACACGTGTTTCAGATTAAAATTCACAACAGAATATTTCCTTAATTTGAGGAAAAAGTCATGCACATCGCCTAATATTGACTGACAGAGCTGAAAGATGGAAGGAGTCGAAAGTTAAAAATTATAATAACCCATAGCCTCTGCAGTAGGGCATCCTACTGGCCCTCCACTTTAAGACAAACTCCACTCTGTATATCAATTTATCAAAATAATATTTATATTAAATTATTAATGTTACATTTAAAAAAAATAACGTTTGACTTTGCACTCATATTCACATTTGTGATGATGCCACAGTTTCTGTGAGGGCACCGACTGAAGTTGCCTCCTCCATACTCACAGGGGTGGCCCCGGTCATGATCACACTAGTCTTGTTATGCTCAGAAATGTCCACGTCACTCTTGTCCTCCTGCCCGTCCTCGAATTCGGACTCGCAGCTCGCTTCGCTCTCACACTCGGACTCTTCCGGTTCTTTGGGCTCGGCCTCTGTCAGTGACTTGTCTAGCGTCTCCTTCTCCTTGTCCTTCTGCGCCTGGGCTTCTTTCGAATGCCTCCACTTCATGCGCCTGTTCTGGAACCACACTTTGACCTGCCGAGAAAGTGCACGAGCTCGTTTAGATGTAGTCAGCCTGATCCTGATGCCTAAACTACTCGCCAACAGGTTGACAATGAGTTATGCTCCATAGAAATAGGACCCAGAGACCTAATTGATAGTATAAAAGGACATCCTCTACATAACAGAACAAAACCTTCTTGATAAGGAAATCATAGCCTACATTTCATAATGAATAACATGACAGTAGCCTAGGTAGGCTACAATAAAGTTAATGCAGAATAAATCAACAATGTGCGTAAAGGTGGGCCTGTAGCCCACAAGAACAAATTGCTATTAAAACATCAGCTGGGCTATAATACTATAGGCTAGTATTATGTGTATTGCTTAACCCAATGGAGTTACGTACGACTATGACCTTTCTCCGTTTGCAATAATTTGTTGTAATCGACTTTCATTTCCCTAAAAGTTCTCGATTGCGCAATTCTACAGTTGCCTACTAGGATATATTACCGGGTGTATCCTCTGAGTGGCGGCTTCCTGTCTTAACAACACACGGCCAGGGCTCTATTCAATCCGTATCGCGAAAGTTCAGCGTTACAGCATTATTGAAATTTAAAGGCAATGTTAATTAATTAGCAGAGACTGCATTCATGCTCCATATGTCGGCTCAATCGGAAATTACATTTAGGGTACATTTCTATCGCGCAATCAGTAACGCTTCAGCTAAACATATTTAATATAGTCGCAAGTTTAATTGTTTTACACTATTAGGCATATGTCTTTCCATCTCAAGAAGCAAGGATTCTAAAAAGAACTCCAGATTTGCATATAGTCCATTATACAAACAATGTCCATACAATTGGGGCCTATTGGCTACAGCATGATGCAAGTAATTTACCTGTGCATCTGTTAGGCCAAGCATTGCAGCCAGTTGTTTTCTGTCGGGTTTGGTGACATATTTCTGTATTTCGAATCGTTTCTCAAGTCCTTTTCTTTGCAGGTTGGAGAAGACTGCTCGCGACCAGGACCTCTTCCTTTTGTACGTCTGTGGTATCGTGTCTTTTGTGAGGACAGCATATGGACCTGTATAAATAAAGGGACATAAAGGTTGAGCAATGTTATTTATTCGTTCAAATTTCAAAGTGCACTAGTCAATTATAGTTGGCAATCCTAGAAAAGTGGTGTCATGCCATCAAACATGTCAAATTATATTCACTTGAAAAACACGATCAACAGAAGATAGGCCTAGGGTTTAAAAACACTGAGCAAAGTCTGAATATTAAAAGCTATGTAAAAATATTGTTCGAATCCTTAAATGTCCTGTGTGCGTAAAAAGGCCCTATGTAGCCTATGTGCTGACGGCTACACTACCTGGGAAGGTGTCCTGAAACTGATGCTGCCCTGATTGCCTGGCGCCGTTTAGTGAGCTCATCATGGAGGACGTGTCGCTCATCGCTGGGTCTATGGATGCGAAGTACTGGCTCGCCGAAGGCTGCACCGGCATGTGGATCCCTGACTGACGGTTCGAGCTAACAATGGAAGTGAGATCTGTCACAGGGCGAGAGATAAATGAGTAAGAAATTACCGCAACGTATAATACACGAGTTCTTGTCAATGGTGAAAATGTTCAGCTAAAAATGACTTTCGTGTGCGAGTCTGAATGTTGTCTGAAGCTAAAGAATACCTAGTTTTATAATGAGGCAACGGTGGCAGCTTGGATGTTCATATAGAGGGTTTGAGTGCGTAAATAATAAGGTACATGATGTTGCCACTGTGGTTTAGGTGCCTTCGAGGTCAGTACTTTATAAACGCAGCCTTTAATTAAGTCAACATAGCCATATTATAAAAATAAAAAGTGCCTTTACAACATAATGGCATTCTTGAATGCTTTCTTTGGCAGTGACAGAATCTTGATATAGGCCTATTAATAGTGATTTTATAGAATTCATTTTGACAACAGTATGAAAGTTCATTTAAAAGCTTACCTCTTAAAGACAATATGTCTTTTGTTTTTGGGTCGAAGTCTGTTGACAATATCCGATCGATTCCGAACTTCAGGTCCTTGCTTGATGGTGGAGGAGCTTGTTGGGAGTTGAGACTCGTTCTAGATACAGACGTTAAGTGTATTCCGTGCCTGTGATATGGAGACCCGGGGTTCAGTCTCCCACCGTAGACCGACTGTTCTGGCCCCACCGGGGAAGGATGCAAATGAGATCCAGAGGAGTGGACCTGAGAACGGTGTCCCATATGAGCCATGAGGGCCGAGGATCCTGGGATGTTCTCGGCATCCCCAACCTGCAAAATGTCAGCAATGCAAAATGAGGGCTTCTTCATTGTATCCATAGCGAAACCACCCGCGCAATAAGCAGACCAAAGACTAAAATTTGATGCGTAAAACGGATTGAGTCCGGCCGTATACATCCTGAACTCGTAATGTTGCCCCTCGGTTGATCACAAACGATGATAGAACAATAAATTCGGCATGTAACGTTGAGTTAACTGTAGTCAGAAAAGGCTGCTGTCTTTGTGTAAGTGCCAGAAATCTCTCACACAACTCTGAAATGTTAGTCTTTGGTCTAAGTACTTCAACAGTCAAGTTTTTCCTCTGACACGGATTGGTTGCTTTCTAGCCAATAGAAGTTTGGCCTCGACACCCAAACACGCCCTTGTGATGGAGATGTGCTCGTTGACCTCTTGAATATCTTCATAAACATTTTCAACAGCAGTCACAGACATCATCATCTTCGTCACTATCTTCTTCATCATGGATGGCATGCAGCAATGAGACCAATAAATGCAAGTGCAAACGCCTTGTGCAAGATGATCATGTAAACATATATCGAATAATATAATAATTATGTTTATTCTTGCACTCGGTTTTTAGGCATTCAGCTTTATTTGTTTCTAAATACCTTTTTAAAAAGTTGATTAAAAAAATTATTAGGCTGTACAAGTGGAATCACATTTTCATATTTGGGTGTTTGTCGCTCAAATGGGGAAACAACTGCCTATCAAACGATGTAGGCTACAAAAAGTAAACACGGACAATATTGAAGATTGTATTTGACAAAGATCTCATATATATTTGTGCCATGTTTAATTTCTGACAATATCATCAATCGAACATAATACATTTGGGTTACAAGCTAATATAAGTGAAGTACCGTGTTCTACATGGTATATGCAGCGCTGAGTGCAGGAAACTATAGTTTCTATTAGATTCAGGTCACTCTGTTTTTTATGGGCTGTGATTCGTGCGAAATTAGCAGATATGCCTGTTAGATTTGTCTCAAAATAGAACATGTTTTAGTATTTTAGGATACAGCAGAAATCCTTATTTCTTCCGTAGTAGAGGGGGAAACTTTATAATTACTGTTAGAACTTCCTTTTTTCAATATTTGTGCAACTTTATCTCGACCTGCAAGTTGCATGGTGACGCAAATCCGTCCCAATGCTCATAATAAACAGAGGAAATCTATTCCCCTCTTAAACGAAAACACAATTAACTTCAGAGGCAATACTTCACCTGGTAACGAACATAATGGGGGGCTGAAAATTATTAAAATGACAAAATATATGTAAGGGTAAATTATATGTTGTAATTATTATTATTATTATTATTATTATTGTAAGCAGGAATAGGTCTATACTTTTTTTTGTCATTTTCGATAGATAATAATATAAAAATTATAATAATCATCAAAGTCATCATAATATTACAAGTACAATCATATCCATATTGATAATAATGAATAAAGACATGCTTTACTTTTTATAATAATATAAAAAACGTTTACTCATGGATTTTTATGTTTAGTTTTTTTGTTTTTTAATCAAACCGAATCTTTATAACATGCTTACATTCTCATACACTCCTCTAAAATTGAGAAAGTAGTGTGCGTGTGTGTGTTTGTTTGCCTGCGTGCCTGCATGCGTGCATGTCTGACATGGTTTGTATCGTGCAGGTACACGTTCCCGAATTCCCACGCCACAGCTATAGGCCCATGCACTGTTTAACCCATTGTCATTACGTGCGCTTCTCATCATCCTACTGCATTTATTAGACTTGATTCATTACCGGCAGGGTCTATGACCCTGACTGCCTCCTATCGCGGTGTTTTCAGATGACACTTTTCCGGGTTCAAATTAGAAATGACATGTAGGCTAACGTCTGCCCCCGTTCATGCAGTCAAAACAATCCAGGGAAAAGGATGTAGCAGAGGCATAGCGGGTTAGCACGCCTAAGTTATTTCAGGTGCAGATGAGCCTTCAGAGGGAAGCATTAAAACATGCAAAGCAATGGAGTATTGACACTCTCGAACGTTAGCAAGTCAGTAAAATAGTGCCATTAAATTTAGTTAATTATTTCATAGTGAGTGAATGTCAGGTTTGCCCAGTTTAAAATGAAAGTATGACACATGTGACAAAGGCCTACAGTTATTGTTTCAGCTCTGATAAAAGTGTTTATTTGCCTTTAGTTTTCAATTATATCAATGCAGGATTGTGTTACAACACCAATAACATTGTAATAGCTACATATAGTCCATTTAAAAGTGCTTTGTATTGTACTGTATCCAGGAAAGGTTGGTTGAGGCTATCATAACTTCCTAAAACTACTAAATAAGCAAACACGTTGAAAACAAAATGTTGCATGAGTCCCAGTAAACACTGGCAGATAAAAAAAAAAATATATATATATATATAAGTTTGACAACTACAGCTGACCACGGAGAGCCAGCATTCACTTCAAGCCTATTGTTGTCGGTTGATTGCTCAGTGTGTATTTTTCAGGAAGCGTTATCAGAGCTCAGGAAAGCTGATTGAGCGCCTCATCTAACAACTCTCTCCGATCAGATGTTGGGAGCCAATTAAATAATTTCCATTACTACACTGAGAATTATTACTCCACTCTGGTAAAACGCCGACCCAGGCCAAGATGACTATTTCTGGCAATGTTTGTCTCAGGAAGGAACTTTCGTAGATTTAATGGGACCTGGGCCATTGTACGCGGCCTTCTGTATGGCATAGTGCCATCATTTCCAAAGCAAAAAAAAATAAAAATGTTAAGGGAGTTATCCAAAGTCAATTGAAAACAGGATTGTCCCGTTAGTGACCCCAAATGTGGCTTTTATTATATTAATTAATATTTTTATCAGTTCTGTTTAATAGGCCCCCATGTTATGAGGGAAATGGGCTCTCCAACATGTGAAAAGGTCTAGATGTTTTTGAAGATTGTTTTAGGGTGTCTGTCCACCCACTGGTTCAACAAACATCAATTGTCTGTGTTATGTCTGTGTTGGTCCATATGAGTATTAAAATAAACTCTGTGACAGAGGTTTGGGACACAAGCTAGCACATAGGCCACTTTAGGACACGGACCCAATTATTCAGGTTTTGAATTTGATAGGAGAGAGCTCTTAATGTATTCCTTTATTTGTGATTGTAACATCATCTAAATGCATCAGGACCCTTTGGGAGACTTAGGCTGTTTGTTTTTGTTGCTGGATATTTGGAGGCCTATCTGTGTTGATCTGTTGCTAGGGCCCAGCCAAGAGGAGAGGAGCTATAGCACAGCTGCCCATCAGTGGAGACAGGACTCATCACGCAGGAAACATAAATATTGAAATATCATAATCCTCCACAGCTGATCATGGGAAAATATGGAAACCTCATGGATTTTCCCCTACCCTTTAGACCAGCAATCACCATCCAGAGAGTTCCACTCATATGACCATTAAATTAAACTCCACAAACTTCATCACAGTCTATAACAGTGATTGTCTCTGAACATGTCCACCCCCAGACAAGTGACCCATAAATGCCCCCTTGTTCCAATCCAAATGGGGAAGTGATCTATATCCCTAGTATATTTAGCTAGATTAATAAATCACAAACACATTTGATTAAATCCATATATAATGACTATTCAAAGTTAGTAGGCCTAGTTATATTTCAACTCACTCCTCCCAATTAAATATCATTATCTAATGTTTTTCTTTCTCCATCTCTTTGAGAAAAAAGAGAGCAAAACCCTATACTTATTACGCAAACAAAAACATCCAGATTTATAATGGAAACAACCAAACCTGAATGTAGCCTAGTCTCCACAGTTCTTGTGGTTTTAGGCCATATTAAAATAAAATCAAAAGAATTAACCAGAAGACACATCATTACAATCATATCATTGAAAAGGAAGATCCTGAAAGGCTACAGTGTGGGCGACATTATCTTTTTTTTTTCTCCATTTGTGGTCATAGAATTATACTGTTCTCCTACCTTTCCCCCACAGAAGAGTATAGATAAAACATTACGTGGTCATTAGATGGACATTAGGAGTGGTAGACTAACCACACTCGCCTCAGTCTGCCCTGTCGTTTAAACAATCGAAGGGCTTCTTTAATAGAAGCTTTTAAATATGATGGTGTCCCAGCGTCTGTACATTAACAACCTCTGTGTTTACATAAAAACAGCCCCGTTGCAGATTAAAGTCGTTCCTCTCTGTGCCTCTTGTGACTGGTGCATTTAAGGCCTTCTGATTACTCGCTGGGTCAATGTACACAGGGTTAAATCACATTTGCTGAGTACTCCCGGGTTGCAGTGCTAAATAAGAGAGGAGACTAATGGAAACGTAAAAGGTCATCATAACAAACCATTACTGCTTTTTCTCTCCCAGTGTCCTGGCAGGCATCCCATGAGGCGGAGAAGATTTGAGGAACAGTGCGCACTCTGTGTAATGACGCCCATGTGACCGATGGCCCGGGTCACACTTGGCAACCCCGCGGGCCAAAAAAACTAAAGTTATAGGCTCTCTTTAAGTATGGTCTGTGACTGTGTGCTAGAGTGATCAATTTTGCATGTATTTAGCGCAACCTTTCACTATTGAGGTCAAGCAGAGCCTCTAAGGGCCGAGACGACAGATCTGTACCGATGTCACACACTGTAAAATTGTTGTAGCCTAATAACACGCCACTGTGGAAACAAATGCGAGGGGATGCTGCAGCACCCTTAGCACCACTACTTCCCAGATTTGGCCTACTAGAGCTGAATAACGTTCAATAGGCCTAGAACATTACATAGCCTTATTTTAACTTCTGAAAATTATTGTTATCGTCTACATCAGCCATAATGTTCTCTACCTGATTTATGGCCGCTAACAAAACAATTAAATCAAGGTTATGATCGGGTGTGTTCTCGCAGAGCGACATTTCACACCCCAAGTATCATCTTGATGGATTCCAGTTTTGTCAACGCTCCAGAGCTGTCCAAACATACGGTGTTTTATGACCTCTCCCTGAAAGTACAGCTGTCAAAATTACGAATGTATCGGACTTAAACCAGAAACATCGTCTTAGCAATGCCAAAATGAGACAATAACATAAATTGAACAGTCATAATAGTTATTATATTTAATTTCCGAGTCG